GCTAGTGCTAAACCGGAGCTGATAGTAAAAGAAAGCAGTGGTGGTAATTTTGCAGTTGGACAACCTTCTAAAAGCCGAACAACAACAGCTTCTGATCCACCGCTAAGTTCATCAACTGGTATCAATCAGTCGTCGATGGTGTTGTCATCCACAATGAAAGGGATGTCCATGAACTCACGTGTCTTATCCTATGACCATGCTGGTATCAGCCCGTTTGAAAGGACGAAAGTCAATGGCCATTTTAGTGAGGATAAGCCAACTGTGTATGAGAGGGTAATTATTAAACTGACTTGCAAGAGTAAAGGCCTTTCAAGTTTCAAGTTACTATTTGAATGTTATTAACGTTGGTGTAAATTACTCCGTACCTACGCTTGGTTGGTCAGATACGTCATATGTTTGTTAGTCGTCTATATTCCACGAAAAAATGACATGGGCGTGTCACCGTTCAGAGTTGAAGATATAGATGATAGAAGGAAGTTAGCAAATGAACTCTGCGACGATTTTCCAACCTAGGGCGTCAACCTGAGAAGGGCTGTAGGCTTACTGCTGTAAGTCCTACAATTCTTCAAAGGGTAGTACATCGGTGAGCAGCCCAACGTGCTTGGTGTGTGATTTTGCACATATGTTCACAGTGTATGTACTGAATTGGTATCATCGGTCATCTAGCTGTTGGTAATTCTGTTTGTGTCCGGATGACTTCGACTTGGATCATCAACCTGAGGAGGAATGTAGGCGTACTGCTGTAAGTCCTACAATTCTTCAAGGGTAGTTCATCAAAGCAGAATCCACAACATTTGATGTATTGATTGTACATATGTTTGTGTTAAGTAATTGTGTGGGTTCTAATTAATGTAATTGTTGGTTAATCTTGTTAGTGTCTGGACATTTTGCAACCTGAGAACGGTTGCAGGCGTACTGGTGTAAGTCCTGAGATTCTTCAAAGGAATAACATCGAGACACGGTCTGCGAGGTTGTTTGTACTCTTTGTATATATATGTGTGGTGTGTCATATCAATTGGTGTTTTTGGATTCACTGTGTTTACTTGTTGTTTTCGTACTTTGTTGTTATGGCATAATTTTGGCAAATTGTTCGTCGTGCTTACTTCTGAAGTTGTTTCGAGTCTTCGACATCCATGAATGAATTGATTGACGTTAGAGACAGCAGATTGGTCGTATACGCCGGGGAGGCTTCGCTAGTGTTGAGAATGAAATGCACACGGAGTTAATGATTAGCTGTGATCCCACACGCTGGGGAGAAAGAGTGTAGACGACTGAGGCTCGCATACGTCATCGTTACTAGAGCTAAGGTAGAATGAGTGACAAGCGATTGCGGTGGTAATTGGTAATGCGTAGATAAGAGGATGTGCGAAGAGTATCGTGAGGTACTGCCATGGTCACGTTGCGTTCTGCAAGAGTCATTCTAGTAAGTGGCGATTGTGTTGCAAGAGGATGCCTTTAACTGGAAGGCGCAGGTCGTCATTGATGTGTGAGATTGTGCTGTGAGTATGCTTGTAGTGTGTTGGCTTTTCTGTTTGTTTTCCATTTCAGCTCTGTCTGTGTGACCCAGGTTCTCGCAATGGCATCCAAGTCAACGTGTATTGGTCGTGATGAAAAAAAGGGGTTGGATCTCTGTTTTGGCGGGGAGTGTCAATGTAGTTGAAGATTGAACGATCAATTCATGGTTGTTTGCTCAAATCAAACTTCCCCATATTTTTCCCGGGTCATCAATCCGGCAGTCATCGTCTCATCGGTCGCTGTTCAGAAAGAATTCAGCAGAAAACCGTCAGAATTAATATTGTGATTTATTATTGTAATATTTGTTCACAGACCTTAGTTGTAACAATTTTTATATGTTTGTGTTACAATAAAGAATCCTCGAGTTGCCAATCAGTGTTTTTTTTTGCGTGCGTTGTTACTAAGCGTTTCTTAGATACTTCAAGGAACAGCGTGAGCCTGAGCGTAGCAAGAGCTGGGCATTAACGGTTTAGGAGACGTGGCTGACAGACAGTGAACAAAAGTTTCGTGAAGAAAATATTGTTAATAAATGTCATATGAAAAATAATACTAGTTTATTCGAACTAATGAAGTATTTCTCTGGTTAGCGTGCTGATAGGTTTCGTCTTTATCTGTAAACGAGAAGACGCCGCCTTCTGTACACAAAGCCGTAAAACAGTAAAAGATATCTACGTAGACAGCTGCGATTATCCGACAACACAGTGAGGCTTTCGGCTGGTTATTACTTATGAAAAAATGATTACTACCATGGCATCACATGTTTTCAGAAGTGACGTCCCTCTTATTTCTTGAGCTGAAATGCTCATACATGCGCGGGAATGAATGCACGAGGAACTCGATGGTTATTTTCGTCCGTGTTAGTTTGCCATGTTGGGTAGCTCTTCGCCAACCAACCGTTTACACACTGGCTTTTACGTTTATCCTGTAGGTGTCCGCACCTGACCCTGATATAGATTATTCACAAATGCTGCGTTTCATCTCATTTTGGCTTCCATTGCCATTAAAAATTACTAATTCCATTCGTTTCGAGAGTTGTACCACCTAATCAGTTCATTCATTTCATTGTAATTGTTTCATATGTTGCTTTCATGCTTCGTTGCGGCGTTCTGGTTATTTTTCAGTTAACAGAACAACACTATGTACAATTCTTAGAATTATATATATGAACGTGTTTCGGTGGTAGAAGCCGTTGTTCCCAGTTCATTTGTTGGTTGCAGCTATTGTTGCTGGCTCAATTGATTACTTCACATGTGGAAATCTGGAAAAAACAATGTCTTTCACGTCGATTTTCATAGCATGCAACAATCTACGCGTCGGTCTGGTGAAGAAATCACGGTCAGAGTTGATATTAGTGAGCTTTTCGGAGAGCATATTAGACCTGGAGAACACATCAGAACCTGGGTTGAACTTGAAAAAGCCTTCACGTTCTTAGAGATTGTTGCATACTATGAAAATCGACGTGAAAGACATTGTTTTTTCCAGATTTCCACATGTGAAGTAATCAATTGAGCCAGCAACAATAGCTGCAACCAACAAATGAACTGGGAACAACGGCTTCTACCACCGAAACACGTTCATATATATAATTCTAAGAATTGTACATAGTGTTGTTCTGTTAACTGAAAAATAACCAGAACGCCGCAACGAAGCATGAAAGCAACATATGAAACAATTACAATGAAATGAATGAACTGATTAGGTGGTACAACTCTCGAAACGAATGGAATTAGTAATTTTTAATGGCAATGGAAGCCAAAATGAGATGAAACGCAGCATTTGTGAATAATCTATATCAGGCTCAGGTGCGGACACCTACAGGATAAACGTAAAAGCCAGTGTGTAAACGGTTGGTTGGCGAAGAGCTACCCAACATGGCAAACTAACACGGACGAAAATAACCTTCGAGTTCCTCGTGCATTCATTCCCGCTTAAAAAGTATGCTCACGCAAGATCTAATACCCACAACTTCTATAGTATTTCTACCGCGTAGACCAAAGACAAAGCAAAACGCTACAGTTGTTCGTCCGAATCACGAGATATATTTTGGGACCAAATCGGAGTGGAGATGATTGCTTAGTTGGCTAGAGATCGTGCACGAACGTGACAGGCTGGAGTACCGAATGGCGTGGATGCTTGACCGGAAACCTTCAGCTAAACAAGTTGACTTAAACAGTGAGGGTCATCATCCAATGTTCAGTGATAAGTGCTGTGGTCAATACTTTTGGGGAATTATTTACCGATACAAAGTACATGTAATTACGAGTGCTTGGAGAATTCAATAAATTCACAGTAAAGATACCCCTCTCTGAACTGTCTGTTCCCTATTTCATATCTGAATGTATAAGTTTCTTGAACGCCTGGGATTCGTCGTAAGTCACTCCTCTTTCTGCATTCTTGTACCTGTCTCAAATATATATATATTCCTTTCTGCTCACCTTGTTTTACCGGTTTAAAAATTTTCCCAGTTTCACTTTAAATCTCTTCAAAGCGAAGGCTGGACAGTCATGCAGTGACGCAAGGACTGCGTCCATTATAAACGAGTTAACTCATGAACTCATCGTTTTGCTTTGCATACTCTCTGGTCTTACTCTCGAGACTACTACAACAGCTACATCCTTTACACTGTTATTATTATGGATATATGTATATGTAAATATATCAATTTCAAGTTTCATTAGCTGTATATTTTAACTTTTTTCCCTTTCTTTTTTCATTCTACATAACCTACACTAATTATAGCTGTTACTATTATCTCTTTATTTTCCCGTCCACACCGGACGGGTAAAGTACGAACTTCATTCATAGTAGCTGCATGGTCTTGACACACCGCATACTAAAAACTGCATACAATCAATCCCAGCACTGCTCCCCTTGGAGTCAGCCAAAGCTACGAGTCGAGTGGCAGGACGAACTAAGTGTACGTTTACTCCACAACCGAGAAACGAGAACGAAGTAACGGAATTGGTCTACACTAGCCTATAAAAAACGATATTAGATATCGGAAAGATTCTCACTTTCTCAGCATATATGCAACTTATGTAAGTTACTGTGTTCTGAAGTGGCAACTGTAATATCTATATCCGCACCACCCGGGAATACACCAATGTGACTAATTCACTATGAGAAAGCTGGCGGAAGTTTACCGAAGGTCAGGAACCTATACCTTACAATCAAGGGGCGAGCACAAAGAAATAAAATTAGTTTATATTAGCTCGTAAAAACGATATTGGATATTGGGGAATTCTTTTTCAAACCAACTTATTAATTGTACATTGTAAGTTGAAGGTCATCCCGACAAATTTGTAGTGAAGGCCGCAGTATTCGTGAAACTAGTGTGTATTTATTTTTTTATTTTTTGGTTACTGCTGGATTCCACACTGTATTTCTAGTACAAGTGTGGAAGTTTCAGCATGAATATCGGTAGCCCAAATTTTTCAGGCCGACTATAGATATCAGGTGTGCATGGTCGGCGAGAGTCCTAACCACTGTGCCACCACTGCATAATTGTGGTATAACACTACTCCCTTCTTCTGTGTTATAGTTAGGGTCACATTTATTCCTGAAGGGGAATAGCGATCCAAGAAAACGAACGCACTAAAGGCCTTCAAACAGCCATTTGCATGTACCTGACAAATTTGGTTTAAAAAATGGAAACAGTTAAACGTTTATGATTAGGAAGCTAAGTGTAAAGAGAGCTACGATGTTTAATTTTCTTGTCATTTTCCAGCATTTCTTCGGGAATATGGTGTTTTTCGCTTTGTTTCATTGTTTTCAACTGGTTGCTCGTTAGATCATGTGTGCGTTTGTTTCCTCAGATCGCTATCCTTTAATTTGGGTATCGAACGGTGTGGATGAACTGAAAGTAAATAAAACTTATCCTCATGTTCCAACCGCCTTTACAGAATAGCAGACGACTAGGGTAACAAACTACCCGTGTGAATAAGGATCCTCTATCACTGTTTTGTTGATAGAGATCTAGACCACATAGCAATAAGCTATCGTTGGCGTGGGTCGGTAGGAGATTGTCGCTCCTTCTGGAACACGTGTGTAGATACCGATCACGCACTGGTCCGGGCTCGTGTGTGCTTACGACTGAACGGACGTAGGAAACAGCTGGCGGTAAAACCATCACGTCCCCAGCTCGATCAGGAAACTAAATCCCTATTTGAGGAAGAACTAGCTAAACGCATATCTGTGTTCGACAGCTGTGCTCACCCTGGAGAAGCCTGGAAGAATATTCAGTCAGCTATAGATACAGCTGTAAAAGCTGTGAATAAGCAAATCCAAAGGTGAGTAAAAACCACTGGATTTCGACTGCCTCATCCGAACTGATAGATGCTAGAAGACTTATTCCGGCGAGCTCCGAATTCAATGAGGAGCGAAAGCTGCACAAAAGGAAACTTACTAAAAGTCTCCGCAAGGACCGTGAACAGTGGTGGGTGACAAAGGCAAAAGAGATGGAAAAAGCATCGGCGATAGGCAACACTAGGCAACTCTTTAGACTCATCAGAAACGGGTGGGAGAAGGCAAATCATAAGTGAGACTATTTCTGAGAAAAATGGCTCCTTAATTAGCTCTCAGGATAGACGCCTTGAACGCTGGAAAGAACACTTTGAGGACAATTTAACTTGCCTACAGCCACACTGAACCTCCCCGACATCCACCACACCCGAATGGGATATAGACACTGGTCCGCCGTCTGTAGTGAGGTCACAAAAGCTATCAGTAATTTGAAACGAGGCAAAGCGGCAGGACCCGACGGAATTATTCCGGAGGTGTTTAAATATGGGGGTGACATACTAGTTTGTAGATTAACTGAGGTACTAGGCAAAGTCTGGGAATCAGAGACAGTACCATCAGACTGGGGTAAGTCACTTATTATACCGATATTCAAGAAGGGAAACAAGTCCTCGTGTGATAATCATAGGGGGATCAGCCTAACGAACATAGTCTCTAAAATCCTAGGCTCAGTAATCATGCATAGACTAAGCAGAACTCGGGAGGAACAGACAAGGGAAAATCAAGCAGGCTTTAGACCAGGTAGAGGGTGCATAGATCATATCTTCACTCTTCGACAGATTCTAGAACATAGACACACTTTTCGGCGTCCAACAATTGTCATATTTCTTGACTTGAAGGCGGCCTTCGACTCCGTGGATCGAAAGGTACTATGGCAATGTCTGACTGTGAAGGGAGTGCCAAGAAAGTACATTGCACTAATCAAGGCACTCTATTCAAACTCACGTAGTCGTGTAAGGGCTTATGGGGAATTGTCATCTGAATTGGTAACAACCAGTGGTGTCCGACAGGGATGTCCACTTTCCCCATTTCTGTTTAACTTCATCATAGATATGCTGATGGAAGTATCCTTAACTGAACGTAATGACTTAGGAATCGACTTGTTACCAGGGAATAATCTTATGGACTTAGAATATGCAGATGACATAGTCCTGTTAGGGGAGGATGCTGACAAAATGCAGAGTCTTCTGAACACCTTGAGCAGCAATCTTCGTATGTTTGGCATGCGATTCGCCCCTGCAAAATGTAAGATGCTGCTACAGGACTGGACCACGTCAACCCTAACTTAGTGATAGGGAGTGAAGTGATAGAACATGTTGACCACTTCACCTATTTGGGAAGTTGTATTAGCACCAACGGACTGATTGGCGATGAAATCTCAGCACGGATCCGAAAAGCTCGAGCTGCTTTCGCTGACTTACACCATCTCTGGCGTAGGCGTGACATCCGGTTATCAACCAAGGGACGTGTGTACTGCTCATCAGTTCGCTCCGTCCTTCTCTATGGCTCTGAAACATGGCCAATACGCGTTGAAGACATGAAAAGGTTGACTGCTTTCGATCATAGATGTCTGCGATCTCTGTCTCACGTTAGGTGGTTTAATAAGGTAAGTAATGTTGACGTTAGGCGTAGAGTGTTGGGCAAAGAGGGAAAATCAATCGACGAGGCTATAAAGTTACATAGACTAAGATGGCTAGGTCACGTGCTGCGCATGCCTAACCACCGCCTCCCCCGACGGGCATTGCTAGCTGATATAGGTTCAGGTTGGAAAAGAGCCAGTGGTGGCCAAACAAAAACATGGCCTCATCAATCCATGAAATCCTTGACAGTTAAACTGAGTCAGGTAGGGAGATGCAGACTCCCGGGTTGGGGCCCTCGGGACTCTAGGAATCAATGGCTGGAGACAATAGGTGACATGGCTCAAAATCGTTGTCAATGGCACGCAGATGTATTCAGTCTCTGTAATCTTTCATATTCCTTTCTACCATTACCCATTCTGTTTCACTCTTATACTTGTCAAACTCTATTGATTCTCTTCACTCATCTTCTTGTCTACCTCTGTGTGCTATTTGGAACGTGGCAACTCGAACTGGTGCACTTCGGTGCCAAGTTCTATGTTGAATCCAGACAGACAGATAGAGATCTATTTTGCACACGAGGGTTCAAATTGCCTAATTCTAAGCAAACTAACCACTGGAATCTGGCAAATGTTCCCCTTGGAAAAACGGGCAGACAGAGTTTCATCACTTAATTGAAAGGACTGCCAACTTGCATAGGCTACGAAATCCAACCGTTATTCGATTTTGTATGCAGTCCGATTTTTGGAATTGATGGGTAATTTATAAATAGGCAGATGATTTCACTGTTTTCGTGTATGTAGTAAACTCTTGTCGTTGTGTTTTGAGTTATTTTTCTTCGCCCATGTTAACCAGGATTTTGGCTACCCTTCAGCAAACAGTATTCAGTTCTCACTTTTGTCTGACGAGTAGTCGTAAGCGCTAACTAATTAGGTTTGTCAGTGGAATAGAAACTTCCGAGTATTTGTCGGCCGAAATATGTGACTGTCAGTGAATCTGCGGTTTATCGATGTAGACACTAAGCTTGAAGCTGGCGAGTTTCGAGTTGAAACATGGCTTTGCATGCCTAATTATGGTTAGACATGTAGTGTCACCAGCCTTCCTATTAAAAATGTAACTCACCTTGTGTAACAATGTGGTCGTCGTGTTGGAAAAAGTGCATTCTCCTCAAACGTTTTTGTGAGGGTGTTGTCACTAGATTTTATTTTGTTCCTGTTTACGTCCCCAGTGGAACATAGGACTTCAAGCTAGAGGTTTGAAAATTCGGTAGCAGTGGTGTTTATTTTTACGGGATAGATGGGGTTGCTAGCCCCTATGCCCAACTTCCCCTCTCTACCAGTCTTATTACTGGCTTAGCGAAGAAAAGGAGTGCGTCGGTGGCCGGTAATCGAACCCCGGACCACCTGCATAGTCGACGAGTCACCAACGCACGTCAGTAGCTTAGTACTGTTTTTTTTTTAACGTGTCTCAAGGTACATAACACATTCAGTAACTGAAGTTTACTGATTGTGTATAATACTGTAGGTAGCCTCCTACTTGGTAGATTATTACATTTTGTACACTTTTGTCGATTCAACCAAACGCCGCACAAAATAATTATATTTATAATATGTTGGGTTCAGTGTGTTACATTTTGTCAGGAACCAACATTTTGGAACCATCTAATTAATTTAGCTTAAAGTACTAACGTAGCTTCATTAACAAGCATACCTTTCCAAACGTTAACGTGAGTGCAGAAAAATTATAGTTTGTACATTTTCTTTGTGCAAAGAACAAGACAAGTAGTTCAGCAAAGTGGTCATTTTCGACGAATTCATTTTCTTCAGCTGTAAAGTGGAGTTGAGTTTACTTACAACTTTCCCACTGGAACCCATATGCAGGTAGCTAGTTACCTCGGGTTCCAGTGGGAAGTCGTGACCAGTAGGGTGCAGCAGGTCGGGTATGAGGACAAATACTTGCCAGCGAAGAAATTGGCTAGCGGTTGCGCTTTATCGTGAATTGGCAGAGGTTAGAATTCATGGGCTGGCCATTGGATCGGGTCCCAGTGGCTTAATGGTCTATGAGGTCACTCGCCTTGTAACCAGAAGTTCCTGGGGTTCAAACTCCCTGTGATGGATGCATACTGCTGAAGGGTCTCAAACTAGGACGAAACAGCTGTCCAGTACTCCCAGCTGGTTTTCCAATGGTTCTCTAACCAAAGTTAGCTCATAATGAAATCCAATGATGAATGAGTTGTCACAATCATAGCTGTTAAGATTCATTAGTGAATAAGAAGGGTTGAATAAGTGTGTTCTATCTACTCATTAAGATGAATATTGTAGGAGTTCGAAAGAAATGGAAATTAGGAAGAGATAGAACCAAACTAACAAAATCAAGCTGGTGGAAAACAATAGGGTCATTACCATGGTAATATTAGTGGTTGAAGGTTGGTTTGTGTATTCGGATCTCCGGTTTCTCTGTCAGAATGACGAGAGCTACAGCAGTGCAGCAGAGATGGAAACGCATTGTCTTTGACAAGTTGTTTTACACTTTGTAGATTACTTGGATGGATTAATTTGTTGAGATGTAATTACAAATGTTAACAAGCTATTCAATTATCTCACTCCCTCTACTTCCTTTCTGAAACTATGTAGCTAGTGTTCCTGAACCCTTTTAGACAGGATACCCGCCGAACGACCAGTATACTTGACTCCACAGGAAAAGGTCAACTAATATATGCACTAGGAAGTGATCGGATGCGAGATCTTGTACTTAAGGCTTCTGCAGACCAATAGACGACTGCATAACACTATCACCATTGTCGCAAAGAGTGCTATTCTCAAAGATGAAGAAATTCTCCTCTTAGGGTATCAAAGGTTGTCTCCCTTTAAATGCAAATTTATGTGAAGTATCTTTTTTGGATCAAGTAGTGTTTCATTCCTATGAACTTTTGGTTTGATATTCTTGTCAATGAGTCTCGGTGAGTATCAATTTTGGATGATGATTTGTCCCAGAAGTGTTGGTTCTTCTTCTAGAGTGTTAGGGCTACAGATATGTGAGATGTGAGTGGCAAGTGGTTCTAACAAAAATGCGTTTTCGATCAACAGGCACCCGATTGTAGAGAAACTTGTCAGTTGACTGTTCTGTATTAGTTTCCTCTTCTATGAATCACTTATTTTGTTCTTTTCACTCATGCCTAGATGAGGATTGTTCCTTTTTATTTGTCGCATCATTAAATACAATGAAAACCAGCAGTTTTAATATGATACCCTTAGGGATTCCACTATTAGTTACTCCTACCACCATATAGTTAGTTTTTGATTCACTCAGTGTGTATATTTCATCAAAACTACAATCTAATTTAGAAATATTGTTGGATTAAAATATTCTTATTTATGCAGACGCTATTTTTTAAAATTCCTTCACGTTCCCACTAGAATATACGGCTTCAAGTTGGAGGCTTGAAATCTCGATTGAAATGGTGTTTATTTTTACGGGATGGGGTTGTTAGCCTCATATGCCCAACCTTCCCTCCTTACCAGGCTTATTATTGGGTTAGGGGGTGGGGTTAAGGAGTGCGTTGGTGGCCGGAAATCGAACCGCGAACCACATGAAGCGTGGTCGGTGAGTATTCTGCCGCTGTGCCACCGACACCGACGCTTGTTGAAAATAATTTCAATTTTTAGATCTCATCACGAATGAACATCATTTAGAGCTCATTGGCAGCTGGGTCGCATGACCTAAAGGTCCTGGGGTTCGACCCCTCATCGGTGTGCACTGTTGAAGAATCCTAAAACAGGGTGAAACATCTTCTTAATGCTCCATGGTTTTCAGTGATCTCTCAGTGATGTTCTAAATCCACACAAATCCTATAATCTAGATTCTCGTTTCCATCTCAGTGACGATTACTGCATGAATTTCTTGAAGCTGTAGTGGGAAGTCGTCGCCAGTAGGGTTCACTCGCGTCAATAGGAAGTAGATCCTCATCGAAGGCACTCGTGTGAGAATAGCGCTATATCACGAGTTGATGAGTTTAGAATTCAAGGGTCATTGAATTCCAGGACAAACGGCCAGTTGGTCAATGAGCTTATTCTCATAACTTAAAGGTCCTAGGTTCGACCCTTCGAGGTGTGAACTGATGAAGAATCCCAAAGTAGGACGAAATAGCTTCCCAGTGGTCCTTGGTTTTCAACGTGCTCTCTTTCTCTCTCCCTCTAAATGATGTTTGTTCGTGACAAAAATCTAACCATTGGAATTAATCCGAATTCCCCACTAGTCCCATAATTTGAACTGTTAAACTCTATTTTAGTTAACTTGAGATATTCATTCCAACCATCGAGTAACTTTGATGCTTACGAAAATTCATTTTGTCAGTCAAAAATGTCCAAAAAGGGCCTGGGATAATGCACACAGACCACTTTTTGAAGTAGTTTAGCTAACTTAAAAAAGCCATAGAGTTCACCTTCACCATAACTAGTCGTCTTGTATGTTTTTAAGTGTTTATTTCTTTGCGTTCCCAGTCTGTCTGTCTGTCTGTTTTCGACATAGAACTTTGCGTTCCCAGTGGAAAATAGTGTTTCAAGCTTGAGTTTTAAAGTCTCATTAGCGGTGGTGTTTTTATTTTTACGGGTTGGGATTGCGAGTCTAACTGCCGATCTCCCCTCTTCCTCGAGTTTACTACCACTTAGACAGGGTCGAACCCTGAACCATTGGTGGTGTAGTTGGCGAGTATTCTGTAATTAATGAAAACAAAACATGTAGATCAGCGAAGAGTCTCTTTTCGCCAGGGAATTCATTTTCTTAGCTGTACAATCGCAAATATATATGTGGGTTATTATGTATGTATGCGTACATTAAGTTTGTCAAAAAAAAATTAAGTAAACAGGTAAAGATTGGTAATACAAGTCAAGAAAATTAAGTTCTAATGAAATTGGTGGTAGTAACAAAGGTGATGAGTTGTCACAAACATTTGTTAAAAGAAATTATGTAATCATAATATGAATAGTTTGATGAGTGAGGTTTACTCAGGATGCACATAGAACCAAAGTGGATAATACGAAATTATGTAAGAGTTCTAAATGTATACAAATATTATAAGCAATTAAAGAACAGGCAAAGAAACAAAATTAAGTCATCAAAATAAAAAAAAAGTTGTTACCATGACAGTAGAAGTGGTTGAGTAATCTTCTTTTGTATGCACAATGTATACAATGAAGAGGAAATGATATTGCTTTTGATAGGTTATTCTTAACTCTATAGATTACTTTGAAGCAGGAGGTGTTTGTTGAAATGGAATGATCAGTGTTAACCAGATGTTCAATTATTGCACCACTATTGCCTTTTCTCAACCATGTTGGATAGTGTTCTTGAATCGTCTTGGACAGGGTGCTCGTCGAACGACCGATGTACCTGGCTGGCACCACAGCAGCAGGTCAAATGATATATGCACATAGTAGAAGTGGTCAGATGCGGGATCTTGTCCTTGAGGCTTTTACAGATCAGTGGGCGACTTACTGGAGAACACTATTCTTAGCGTTGCTGCAAAGAATGTTCTCTTCTCAGAGATGATGTAATCCTCCTCTTGGGAATCTGTAATTGAAATGACAGGGTTTCAACGTAGAAATGTTTACCACATCAATTAATTTCTTTATATTTTACTTTTCATGGAATATCTCATTATTTTGATAAAACTTTATTGTCTATAACCTGAATCTACTATGTTGTTTTGCTTCTAGCAATCTTTTGAAAATGAATCCAAGTCTTATAAAGGAGAGGGAAGCTTTCCTGAAAAGAGCTATGGCTATGCCAGTTGTTGAGAAACCAAAAGTAAATTCAGCAGCAATCCCCTCCTCCTCGTCATCCGCCGCCGCCGCCTTAGAAGGAAATAGCCTTCGTCGACCGCCTCCTTCAGTTGCTTCCTCCTCTTCGTCTTCTTCTGTATCTACTGAATTACGATCTATTGATTCAACAAGACCTTCATTATTACAAGGAAAATTTGCTGTGCTATCCAGGATTGTAAAATACATGAAGGTTTGTTACCAATTATATGATTCTGACTGTGTTTTTTTCTTTTTCTTTCTTCAGCAACGTCATTTAGAAGGTGATACACATCCATTATCAGTAGACGAGATTCTTGAAGAAGCTGTACTGCATGATACACCACCAGCAACTATCCGATGGTTAGAAGAAGAAGTAATTCTACTGTATTCTGCCATTTTATTGGCTTGTCTTGTTTTGTTATTAGGCTCTTCCAAATAATCCAAAGATTCGCGTGACTGAGGATAGAAAATTTGTCTTCCGACCTAAATATGATATACGCACGCGTAAAGATTTGTATCAGCTACTTCGTCGTCAAGAGTTAAAAGGGCTAGGTGGGATTTATTTGGATGATTTAACTGAATCTATACCTGATGTGGAAAAAATTATTGCTGTAGGTAAATCAGTTAATTTAATTTATCAAATTTTGGTTTATTTATTTATGGTGTTCATTTTTGATTTTGATTATTATATTCTAAAAATATAAAAGCAAAAAAATTGTAGAATAAGGTGAATATTTCATTTCACTATGCTGTGATTCTTACACACATATTTGTTGCCATTATTATTATTATTTTCAAGTATTGGTTTTGTAGGGATTTGTTTGATTGCATCGAGGATTTCATCATGAGCTGACATCAGTTAGAGAACCATTGGAAAATCACTAGGGAGCACTGGACAGCCAGCTGTTTCATCAGCCTAGTTTGAAACTCTTCGTCAGTACGCACCCACCGCCAGAGTTCGAACCCCACGACCTTCTGGTTACAAGGCTGGCGAGCTAGCTCGTAGACCATTAAGCCACTGGGACTCAATCCAATATCCAACCCATGAATTCTAACTTCTGCCAATTCACGACGTAGAGTGACCATTTCACAATGTCTTCTTCGATGAGTTACTGCCTCATCTTCGACCTGCTTGTATCCTACTGGTCACGGCTTCCCACTATAAGTTAGAATTCAAGAACCATTGGATTGGGTCCCAGTGGCTCAATGGTCTACAAGCTCGCCTTGTGACCAGAAGGTCCTGGGTGGGTGCGTACTGATGAAGAGTCCAAAACTAGGATGAAACAGCTATCCAGTACTCCCAGGTCTTCCAGTGGTTCTCTAACTGATGTCAGCTCATGATGTAATTTTCCATGCAATTATTATTATTATATTTATTATTCTCTTGGTTTCTGAGTGGCAGATACATGGCTTCAACGGCGTACCTCTATTTTATTCTATTCTTTATAGTCCCCTTTAGCACGATCTCCTGCCTGTCTGTCTGTCTGGTTCCAACATAGAACTTTGCACCGGTGTGCAACAGTTCAAGTCGCCACACTGCCTCCATGTAGCACATAAACCAAGAAAAGAAAGTAGAGGAAATGCATAATACATACAGTAAACAGAGATATGAGACAAAAGGAATAGTAATAACGAAGAACATTATAGTTTTTTTTGGAAATTATAAGTCACAAGAAGTGGATGCATTTGTGCTGGCCATTGAGAACGATGAGTCTGAGTCATAACACCAATTGTCTCCAGCCTTCATTGGTTTTTACCGTCCTGTGAGGACCCCAACCAGCCAGGAAGCTAGTCTACACCTTCCTAGGTGGCTGGCTTAAACTAACTGTTGTGGATTTCATTGACTGGTGAAGCCATGTTTTGGTTTGATCGCCCATAGCTATTTTCCAGCTTGACTCCTGTGTCAGCTAACATTACCCAGTATCGAGGAAGGTGATGTCCTAACCATCTCAGTTGACGTAGCTTGACAGCCCCTCCGTCCTACCTAGCACTCGACTGATGCCTAACCTCAAAATCGCCCACCCTATTATATTGGTTGGCAACAAAGCTTTTAAAGTGAAAATATATACCGTGCCATTCCTGAAGATTTTCTAAACACAGATATTTCTCTTGTGCCCTCAATCCTTTTGACATAGAGAACATTGCACAGAAGTGCAGCAGTTCAAGTTGCCACACTTCATATAGCGCACACACATACACACACACACGCGCACATGAAGACAAAATCAAGGAGAAAAGCGTTTCAAAAGAATGACAGTATTTCATACAGCCGGTTCTCTTTATTAGTTTTGAATTAAGAAAGAACGAACATATTTGTAGCCTGGATAATACGAGCTCGTTTTATTTTGTGGATTCTCTCTCTTCAACTGCCTACATCCTAAATAAATTAAAAGTGGTGTGTAAACATACTTTTTTACAATGACTTCAGCTTGTAGATAGAAAGTATGAGCAGCGCATAATTTCAAAGATGATGTAAGTAGATGAAACAGGTGAAATTATGGGGCTTATACTTTCTATCTATAACTTGAAGTCACTGTGGAAAAAGTATATTTAGAAACCATTTTGTAACATGTAATTGATTTTGTTTAGGGTGTACTCATTTGTAAAGAGAGAATCCGTGAAACAAAACGAGCTTGTATTATCTATCCTGCCTGGAAATATATTCGTTCTTTCTTTATTCAGAACAATGACAAGCAGAATAATATTATCTTTATTCTGGACAGTATGTATAAAATGTACAGAATTTTCAGAGGAGTTTACTGTATGATCTTTTTTTTTCGTACAATATCTTCAAGTGAAATATGAATTGACAGTATATCCTTTCTGTAACACACGGTGGTTGGTCTGTCAGCTGATGAAGCACAAGCCATTCCATTTAGTGATATATATATATCTGCTTTGTCATTCTCCTTCAAAAAATCCATCCACGACATCTAGTTGAATGTAAATTGTAAGAGATGTTCATAAGTACACTTTGAGACCCAAGAAAATGACTGAAGAAGTTATGTCACGTATTGGAATACGTTGCCACCACAGTCAGGCCTTTCCCCAAGTTTAGTAGGAACTTGCGAATAAGAAGCTTGTAAACACTTTAAATACACACAAGAGTAGATAATACGAATAGAGGTCATATATTAATCAATTAAAGCAAACCGAACGAGAGAAAATGTACGCACTAGAGAGAGAGAGAGAGAAGTTTTTGGTAGCCCAAGTTTTAAGCAGGCCGCCAACTTGAGAGAGAGAAAGAATAAAGTTTAACAACTATATGGAAATCATAAAGAGTGAATGGATCTACGGCATCATTGAGAACGATTTTAAACCATATCACCGATTTTCTTTCCAACCAGGAAGCCTACTCTCAAAGATTTCATGAACTGATGGGAATTTTTAGTTTGGTCACCATCTATGTCAGTCAGCTAACATTGCCCATTGTCGTCGAGGAAGGCGATCGATGGATGGGCTAGGCAGCCATGCATAACACATATCCTATCCATCTCAATCTCGATGTTTGTGGTTTTACAACCTCATCGATTGACTTTCCCTCCTTACCTAATACACTCACTGGACGCCTAACCTGAATGTGTTACTCACCCTGTTTATTAAACCACCACTTACTTACCACAGCAGATAGAATGCAGACAACCTATGATAAAAGACAACTAGCCTTTCTATAAATCGTCCACTTTGACAATAGGCATATCTTACAGTGACGATAAGGAAGGATTTAGTGAACTGGCGGCGCTGTGCAGTACACACGCCACACACACACATATCCTTTAATCGATAGCCAATTGGATGTCATCACGTCTATGTTGTCAGAGATGACGTAAGTTAATAATAAGAATAGAATTATTGTTTTTTAAAACATGTGAATAACACTCATTATACTCTGTATAATTTATCGACAAATTACCACTGCTACATTTTAACCCCAGCCTTTTTGTGTTTTTTGTTTCTTCACAGAGTTTCGGTGATCATGTCATTCGCATTGTAACACCACATGATAAGAAAACTATTTTATTTTACAATGATAAATCATTCGATTTGAATGTTGATGAAGGTAAGTAAGTGGGATATGTCATTAAACAGACTGTTTTTTTTCTTGTTTGTTTTGTGATCATGACTTTTATTGTTTATAATATTATATTCCTATTATCATTCCCTTGCATTTCAAGGGGAACATCTCCACTTTGTTCTGCTTTCTGCTGTCCTCTTCAGCTGGATCGTGATCGTCCACGATTGATCGACCATTCACTCATCTCTTCCTCACACGATCTCCTCCATGTCGTCACCCCAATACCGACGAGCTTCGGTATTCGTCGCTTCTCATTTGGATTCCACTCGAGCTATGGTCTGGTATGCGATGTCATTCGACGGCCTCCTCAATGGCGTATGCCCAGTCCATCCATCTCCATTTTCGCCTACATATTTGCTGAGCGATCGGCTCTCGCCTGTTGGTTTGTTCCTCGCCAGAGTTTCGTCTGACCGGCATTCGATCTTCAGTGTGGAGCCAGTGAAATAGGCAGCTGTTGATGAAAGTCTGCAACAGGCTGTTGGAAATCCTTTTCGTGACATGCTGGCCATGTATTCTTTCTGACCGGCATTCGATCTTCAGTATGAAGCCAGCGAATCCCACTGTTGATGAAAGTCTGAAACCCGTTGGAAATTCTTTCCGTGACACACTGGTCATGTTTATGACCTGTATAGAAGAACTGACTTGACATTGGTGTTGAAAATGCGAATCTTGTTCCTTATACTGACTGAGTGCGGAAGATTTCCAAATTGGTTCCAGGTTGATGAAGGCGTGTGCATCTTGCCTTTCTGATTTTGTCTGGCTGGCTTTGACACATCTTCATCCGTTCCAACTAACTGTGGTTGAAACGATGCTTCCTATAATAAATGAAGGAGGTCACCTCTGTTAAATCCCTCCCGTTGATGGTGATTGGTGCTGGTTGTTGTTTTTACTTGACTTAATTGGAAAGACTTATTTTCATCACGAAAAATACCCATTTAATTCATAAGGAAAAAACACAGTTTTTTGTTCAGCGAAGAAATTTCTCTTCAACAACTGTACAGCTTGAAAATTATGCCGATGCTTGCAGAGCTAGCTTGCCTAATAACCAGAAGGTCCTGGGTTCGAACTCCGTAATGTGAGTGCATACTACTGAAGAGTCCCACATTCTAGGACGAAACTGCTGCCCAGTAAGTACTCCAGTGGTGGTTTTCCAATGTTTCTCTAACTGATGTCAGCTCCTGATGAAATCTTCCGTCCAGTTAGACAAAAATCCCTACAAAACCCATTCTTGAGCATCATAATTCACGTATACTGCTTACCACAACTACGCAAATTGATATTCTCGATTGTGGTAATCACACGGTACCTGGAAGTTGGGTGGTTTTAAAATCTATAAATGTCCTAGTTGCTGAATGGTCAATGGACTCGCCTTGTAACATGTGTGTTCTGGTACGTCATATCAAAGAGTTCCAAGCTAGGACAAAAACAGATGTTCAGCACTAACCGATCTCCAGTGGTTTTCTAAATGATATAATGCATCAGTGTTTCAGCGGTGGAATTGCTCGGGATTCGAATCCCGGTTGACGAATTCCTAAACTTTCCCTTATTTAGTTTACTAACTGATAAAAGGCCGTGGAAAGAGAGGAGGTTAGGCTTGAGTCTAGCAGCTCCACCCCGTAAAACAACATCACTATTGAAACTGCATAGCACGAGCTTTAAGTTCAATGTTCCACCCGAAACGCAAAGGGATAAAATATTAGAAGAATATAGCATACTACTCATGAGTAGCTGAAAATTTGTTTGTCATATTTTCTTCACATATGTACTACGACTTCATTAAACAGGGAATTGTCACAAAGAAGTAACTCTTTACGGTCGTAATATATCGTGTAGTATTTACCACGGTTATTTTGCTATTTTTCTATATATCATCTTAAATATTACGAGACATCAATTCGTCGGCCATTTTTTTTCTCTAGATTGCTTACGTATAATTCCACAGACGAGAAATTTCCATGGATGTTTATGTTTAATGGTTACTCACCCACCCATTGGTGTGACAGTGAATTCAAAGAAAGCCTCCACCTTCCTACGGGATTGGCGTAAACCAACTGTCAAAGACATGATGAAATGATGCCACGTTTTGGTTTGAACCACCCTTCCTCTCCCCCGGGAACACTTTTCCAATCTAATCCTATGTCAACTAACCTTGCCCGTTGAGAAAGTCGATGGCTCACCATGTGCAACACGCGTGTTCTACCTTTCTTTAATTCGATTTAGTTTCACAACTCCATACTTTGAATTAACTTCCTAAACTCAATATTGTTCATCCTATGATACCACTTAACACGTGGTCAAAGACAGCTAGCGCCTTCAGGTTTTCCGATGTCAATTAATCATTTTTCAAAGCCATAAAGGAGAAAGTAGTGATCTGGTGGGCAGTACACATGTCCTTTGATTGGTGGTGGTAGTTGGATGTCCTGTCTACGTCATGAAGTGATGTAATTTGACAAATGCCACATGAGGCTTTTTCTAAAATTTGTGCTGAGACTATCGGTTCGTTGGGTGGTGATGCAACTTTCCATATGAGTGGGATGGGGCGGGGGTCTACGTGCTCTGCTACTTCCCTGCCTATCTTTAACCTAGGAGTCAGTGCAGTCCAGTCTTGCAGAATCATCTTACATCTGACAGGAGCAAAATGCGTGCCGAACGTTTAAAGATGTTTAGAAGATCCTGCATTTTGTCAGCGTCTTTACCTTGTAAGACAATATGATCCACATACTCTAAGTAGACAAGACTACTCCTGATAAAAAGGCAGTTTCTGAATTGCTAAAGTCAATCAGAGTCAATTACTTTAGTACATGTATAATGGAATTGAACAAAAATGGGGACACTGGGCATCCGTGACGCACAGACACCACTGGTTGTTATCACTTCAGATGACAATTGTCCATAAACGGTTACACGACTGTCTGAGTTCAAGTGGAGAGTGCCTTGACTAAATTCAATAAACTCTTTTGGAATTTGCTTCGCGTTTAAATATTTTCACAACACCTGTCAGCCGACGGAATCGAATACCACCTTCAGGCCACGAACTATGACAAGTGTTGTATGCCGGTAAAGTATGACGATATCCCAGAATCTGTTGAAGGGTGATGATATGATCAATACACACCCTCTTCCTGATTTAAAGCCTGTTTCTCCCGAGCACCACTTAATCTACGTATGAATATTGAACTTATAACTTTAAATATCATATTAATCAAGCTTATCACCTTATGATTATCACGTAACTCCAGATTAGCATGTTGACTATATTGCAAACTTGGCTGACAGAATTCAGACTGTACTAAGTAAAGGATTAGATGTATCATGAACATTGCTTACTGTCTAGTAACTAATCAAAATATTCATTACATTCCTATAGGAGATTAATAATCACGAGCCTGAGTCTGTCTGTCTGTTTTCGACATAGAACTTTGCACAAATGTGCGGAAGTTCAAGTCGCCACATTCCGTGTAGCACGCGAAGCAAGAGAAGAAAGTACAAGAAAAGCATAATAGAAACAGTGAGGAGAGGTGTGAGACAAAGGAGTAATAAAGAATAACAAAACAGTTTCATTGGAGATCATAAGTCACAGGGAGTGGATGCATCTTCGCCACTGAGAACGGTTTTGAGCTAGCCATGTCACCAATTGTTTCCAACCATAGATTTTTACCGTCCCGAGGACCCCAGCCTGGAAGTCTACACCTTCCTACGTGGGTTAGACCAACTGTTGTGGATTTCATTGACTGATGCCAAGTTTTTGTTTGACCGCCGCTAGCTTTTTTCCAGCCTGACCCTATATCCGCTAACATAGCTCGTCGAGGGAGGCGATGACTTGGCATACGTAACACATGTCCTAACCATCTCAGTCGAGCCTGAGTAGCTCGGGAGTAACGCTCTGGATGACATAGATTCGAATCTTAGAGTTCTTTCAAGATTGTAGATACGCCTTTCTGACTGACATTGTATAAGTGAACAAATACTGGTTACGTGCATGTGTTTGTGTGTCTGTCTGTCTGTCTACTGAGGCCCCCGTCCTCCCCCCGCCCCCCAACTGAAATTGCCTTATTTTTACTCATATACTTCTAGAATTTAAACAACAATGGAGAGCAGTAAGCGTCGAGGGGGTGCATGAAACAAAAATAGAAGAATATTTAAAACGTAATGGTATTTCCTCTATGTCCGGTGATCGTAAAAGCTTTGTAAGTGTATTTTACAATAAATTTCGTTTTCTTTTTCGTTGTTGTCATAAATTACTGGATGTTTCATCTTCTGTGCTTTGTGTGGGGTTGTTCAGCCATGAGACCACTGACATGCTCCGGGATTCGATCCCCGGTGGATTCACTTCTATACCTCAATAAGCCGGTACTAAGCGCCTAAGGAAAAAAAGAGGGGAAGGCTAACAGCTACACACGTAAAAGATAACATCCACAAATACGCCTAGCTAATTGACGAGTGCTAACTAGCACGAAACCTAGTTCCCAGAAAGGCTTCCTGTGGCTGATCGCCTCCAACCGCCATCTAATATCATCAAATAAATGTGCACCGTGATGGCGAGCCACCTAGAATGATGATGGCCACAGTGCAAACCTGACTGGTAGAATTCATCTATAAAAGACAAAATAATTGAGCAAAGAAGAATATCCACCTTTCGATAAATTCCTCTTCTGGCTCTACAATTTGATATCTGAATGTTTATATACATAGAATATTCTAGATTAGTAGTCAATAACAATATCAGTGTTTTTTAAATACTAATAATAAATAATAATTATTATTCGAACCTAGATGGCCAGGGTAAGTACAATGTCTGAACTAGCTTCTTTTGGATACATAAATTAGGCTTCTTAATGTGGATCCCAGCAGTCAGCCTCAACAATATTTAGTAGACGAACTCTTCAGGAGAAATTGAGATTTGTTGTTATGCGGTAAATGACTTTGAAAGCCGCCACGTTAACAACATCCAATCTTGTGTTCTGTATCCACAAGATGAGATACAAAAGCACTACGAGCAGTGGGCTTTGTTTGTCCTTTACTTAACCAGCCACTATGCAGGGTGATGTTTGAAAATCTGACGCCTAATTTTACGGCCCATGCAGCTAACTGGCTCCACAGGAGCTCAGTCTGCACCAAATAAGGGACTAGACATACACATCACACTAATTACTGACTAGCGTCCAATCAAATTGTCTGTCTGTTTTCGACATAGAACTTCGCACCAATGTGCGGCAGTTCAAGTCGCCACACTCCCTCCATGTATCACACAAAGCAAGAGAAGAAAGTAGAAGAGATGCATAATAGGGTCAGTAAACAGAGGTGTGAGACAAAGGAATAGTAATAACGAAGAACAATAGAGTTTCATCGGAAATCATAAGTCACAAGGAGTGGATGCATCCGCACCAGCCATTGAGAACGATTTTGAGCCAAATCACCAATTGTTTCCAACCATAGATTTTTACCGTCCCGAGGACCCTAACCAGGAAGTCTACACCTCCCTACGTGGTTTAAACCAACTGTTGTGGATTTCATGGAGGATTTAATCATGAGCTGACATCAGTTAGAGAACCACTGGAAAACCTGGGAGTACTGGACAGCCGTTTCGTCTAGTTTGGGACTCCTCAGCAGTACGCACCCACCGGGATTCGAACCCAGGACCTTCTGGTTACAAGGCGAGCTCGTAGACCATTGAGCCACTGGGACCCGATCCAATGGTCCTTGAATTCTAACTTCTGCCAGTTCACGACATAGCGCGACCACTTCGCAATGTCTTCTTCGATGAGTTACTGCCTCATCTTCGACCTGCTGTACCCTACTGGTCACTGCTTCCCACTAGAACCCCAGGTTAACTGCCTGAATAGGGCCAGTCACTAGTGAGCATCAGATGAATTTTCAAGTATTGGTTTTTGTAGGGATTTTGTTTGATTGCATGGTGGATTTGATTGACAGATGAAGCCATGTTTTGGTTTGACCGCCACTAGCTCTTTTCCAGCCTGGCCCTATGTCAGCTAACATTATCCATTGTCGAGGAAGGCGATGACTAGGCATATGTAATACATGTCCTAACCATCTCAGTCGATGTAATTTCACAACCTCGTCGATCGATTTCCCCTCCTTACCTGGTACTCGACGCCTAACCTCAATATTGTTTACCTTACTATACCATTTCACACGGGGGATAGAATGCAGGCACCTATGATCAAAGACAGCTAGCCGGCCTTTTCATGTCTTCCACTCTCAATGGCCAGGTCACACAGATTTCGTCAGAGATAAACCCGTTGGCACTGGCTGATGGTACTTCCCATTCAAATTGAGCAATATTGTTCGCTTATGTGTCTTGTTCTAATATTAATAATGGGAATATTTCAACCTTTTGGAATCAAAAACTATCCAATAAGGTTATTGTTATTATTATTATTGTGTTATCAGTACTAATATATTTTGAATGGTATCAATCAATAAAAATTGATTAGTGAATATATAATTGATTTTCTTAATTGTTTATTTATTTATTATTTTTATTTTTGTTTGCACACTTTTGAAAAGACACCAGCACAACGCAAGAAACCAGGTCAAAAACGTGTTTCAAATCGTCCAGTACATTTTAAAGACAATGAACACGTCAATGATATTTTAGAGGATTTTTCAGAGAAATTAGCTAAAACTTCTTGATATTATTCCTCCACCACCGTCACCATCTTCTCCTTCTCTGTTTTCTCCGAATGAGTAATTGTAAATACATTTTCTTGTATCTGTGTTAGTGTGTGTGTGTGTGTGCGCGTGTACAGTGATGAGTAACACTCAAGTTTCTTTCTCTTTTTTGTATATTGTGAGTTGATCTCTCCTGTGCACAACTAACTGTGTGTGTGTGTATGCGCATGCATGTGTTTCTGTATCTATTTTGTATGAAGATTGCCTGCGCGCATAAACACACAAACACGCACGCATATACACACACACCAAAACATTCTCTGTGTTGTATGTTTTAGCGCTGATGTGATGTGATAGAATTATAAACCTTTGAATATATATATGCATATTTTTTGTTAATGCTCTAAAATTTTATCTGATCATCACGTCATATTGTTATACCATATAAAGAAGGGACATCTGAGGCCCTACGTAGGATTCTCAACAAAGCAGGAATTAGGGAGGAGGCATTCAAACCTAAAAACTCACTCACAGACAAGATCTGTGGATTAAAGGACCCAGTTGACCCAATTAGACAAAATAATACCATTTACAAAATACCCTGCAATGACTGTCGGTTAGGTCAACTACATAGGTCAAACTAGTAGGTCGGGGATAGTGAGATTGTCGGAACACAAGAATTTAGCTAAGGTAAGAATGGCTGACCCCGAGAAAAAAGATGAGTAATTTAGAAAAAAAAGCCAAGCTATTGCAATGCATGCATTAACACACAACCACACAATAGGATGGTGGGAGAGGGTTAAAATTCTAAAAAGTAATCTAGGTAGATGGAGAGAGAGGTTTGATTACTGAATCCTTGTTCATTGAGTCTACATCAAACACATGCAATAGGAATTAGTCATCACTCATACCTGAAATATGGAAAATTGTACTGCCAATCAAATCAAGTGAAAAATAATTGAACTATATAAATGAAGTTAGGAAGTCGTGTGAGTACCTTGATATGATTATGAGCAATAAATTGTGCTCGAAACGTCATCAGTAAACATTACTGTTGGGGATTTGATTGACTGATGAAGCCATGTTTTGATTTGACCACCACCACCACCAACCCCACTAGCTCTTTTCCAACCTAATCCATCCTATGTCAGCTAACACTGTCCGTCGTCGAGGAGGGTGATGGCTAGGCAGGCATGCGTAACACATGTCTTAATCATCTCAGTCGATGTACCTGCTTCACAACCTCGTCTATAGATTCCCCCCCCCCCCACCTACCTACCTACCTAGCATTCGATCGAAGCCTAACCTCAATATTGCTCATCTCATTATTTAATGATAATTTAACAATGTTTTCCTTCACGTTCCCCAGTGGAACATGGAGGGCTTCAAGCTGCTAGTGGCTTGAAGTTTCTGTAGCAGTGGTGGTTACTTTTTACAAGATGGGGTCGCTAGCCAACCTCATGCCCAACCTTCCCCCTCTTTACCGGGTATCGAACCTCGGACCATGTGCATGGTCGGTTGGCGTCCTAACCGCTGTACCATCGACACGCCATCTTATTATACCACTACCTAACACGGGAGATAGAATCCAGGTACCTATATGATCAAAGACAGCTAGCCGGTCTTTTCGTATCTTCCATTTTCGATGGGCTATTTCTCACTCACAGCCATAAAGGAAGACAGAGCGAATTTCTGAGCAGTACACACACACGCAGTTTGGTCGACAGTCAGCCAGCTTGATATCGTGTCTACTAAGCCAGAGATGGCGTAAATTGGTGGCCATATGCGAAATGAGCCTTCTTTGCTGAGATTTCATCGGTGATCAGTCCGCTAGCGTTGGCTGATGCAACTCCCCAAATGCATAAATTGGTCAACACACTCCACCAACCACTTCACTCCTGCCTTTCTTTACGCTAGGTGACAATATCTCATAGGCAACAATATCTAATGACTGACAACATCAGTTATTGGATAGTTATTTTAGAACCAGTCAGGGAGTAATGGACACCTGTTGGTGACTGCTAGTTTGGGACTCTTCTTTAGTGTGCACCTACCACCGGAGTTCGAACCCAGGACCGTCAGATTATTAGCAGAGCTTGTAGTCTGACTATTTAGCCCCACTGACAACCGATGAATTGGTTGCATCATACAATGGAGATGGACTTTTGTAGCCCTGTGTTCCATTCGGAACCCAAGGAATGAATTAGAGTAATATAATAAATTGTAAGCATTTCTGTAAGGGTCTGGCAACCATATTATCAGTGGTACATCAAGTTATTAATACATCCTGTGAAGAAATGCGGTTGAAGTGTCTATGTGTTCATCTCCTAGCTACCAACTGTTATTATTTAATGGTATCAGGTACACTTGGATGGTCACTTTAGTGGGGAGGATGGTGGAGGGGCTACCGAGTTCAGGGGTCATCTCGAAATCTCTGAGAAATGAAGGATTTAGGACAAAGTGGAGAGGATCGTCATTCAAATTGTCGTATTGTCTTCAGTATGTATGGTGTTGCTAGTTCACATCAAGTACGTGATAGGTGGTGACATATTTAACCAATTGGGGATCATTATGACGACTCGAAATGTGGGTTATGATAAAATCATTATAACCGGTGAATTAAATTCAAATATCTCGTATTAAGGCTGGGTACTCTACACGTAGCATTTTTGACCGACATTGCCGATGCATCGCCAATGACGCATAACAATGAAATGTCGTTTTAGACAAATTTCAAAGAGTTGTGGTGTGTATTCCAAGGACCTACATCGATGTACGTCCGAAAACAAACCTCAGTACATGCATTTTAAAGAGGTCAAAGCTGACATTATCTCACTAGTATGGAAATGGTCGAGGTCATTAGTTCAGTATGTGTCAGGTGATTGAACGACTCAGTACCCCACCGAGTCAATCTAAGGAAAAATAAATACCTCCATCCCAAATAAGCCTCACAATGCTCATAGTTTAGCTACTGAAACTCAACTAAGGGAAACTGATGGATCCTCAAGGCATTTTGGGCATCCGATGTGGAGGTTCATTCAGAAGCTGTCTGTTCACACAGTTGTCTCCAACCAAAGGCAGCGAACTGAAAATGCTGCCTAGGTGATGAAAGACAACCATCTTGTTCGAGGAGGAAACTGGTAATGCTACTTCAATTAGTGTTGAAGTTACCAGGAAGCTTAGTTGATTGTCAGATTAGGGAACAAGTCACTCCGTGAAATACAATATGGCTTCAGGAGAGAGAGAGAGAGAGATTCTGTGCAACAAGTCTACTGTCAGCAATTAAATGTTAGACATCCTTTTGGAACATGAATGTCTGAATTTATGGGACCTTCTTGATTTTTGTGAAAGCATTTGACACTATTTAATAATAATAATAATACACTGTCATTTTTTTGTACATGAGGGATGTCAGTTTACAGGCATCATCAATATGATAGATTACATATACAATTAATAAGCATATTTTATAATAATTATATAATGAAATACATATTTATTCCTACCTGTTTAGGACACACCAGTTGTACAGGCATGGATAAGCATTATTTAAATTACATAAATTTGCTTTATGGTGGAATTACATGGTTGCTGTCTCCATTTTAGTTTGTTTATTTAGATGTATCACACAGTGAGTGAAACAGTGTTATTTACTGAATGACGTTTCGAACAAAATTTATTATTGTTCATAATCATATCATCAATTATAATCACACAACTTCGAAACTTGACTTTTGTAGTTTTCTTTGTCTTCTCCTGTTTATCGTTGTAGGGATAGTAGAATTTTCCAGATATCTGGGTGGATAGGTGATGAATCATTCCTATTACATGTGTTTGCAGTTGATTCAATGGACAAAGCTTCCGTTGTTATCAATCTCTCTCTCTCCCTCCACCCTGTCACATTAGACTTTAAAACTGTCATCTTGTCCTATCCCATCCTGTTTTATGGTTGTGTGTAATTGCGTGTAGTGAGGGATATAGCTGAACTATTCTCTAGATTTTTTTTATCTTATTTGGGTCAACCAACTAAGTAGTATCAAGGAAAATCCATGACAGGAAGTGAGGCAGATAAGAGAAGCTTTGAAACTTAATAATTACCCGGATAAATTAGTCAGAAAGTATGTAGGGGAATGTAAAAATAAAATAAATAATGATAGTAGCGATAGTGATAATAATAATAATGATAACAATAATAATGATAATAATAATGTGGCGAGAGCAGGCTGCTAGCCAATTGGTAGACATTAATCGACGCTGATTGGTAGATATTAATCTAGGCTGATTCAACAACCAATCACAGCAGACTTAAACGTGGGCAAATATGATTCGCAGATAAATGGCTCTACTTTCCGAGAAATATCGAAAACAACCAATCAGGAGACTGTGTTTGTAAAAAAAACTTCCGAGAAACAACCAATTAGAATACTGCCTTTTTCTGCTTGCATAAGCCTTATTAATGTACATAAAATATATGTAAATACGCGTTGATTTTCGTAATAAAACGATCTGTTGCCTGGCCCTTGTCTTCTGTTGTTACAATAATAGTGGTAATAATAATATTAATATTAATGACGACACCAACAATAAGGAATCTAAATCATCAGTAGTAATTCCATAAAAGGAAGGAACCTCGGAAACCTTACGCAGAATTCTTAACAAGGCTTTGTCGGTTAAAGGATCCTGTGGATTCTTTAAACCAAAACAATTTAGTATATCTAATACTCTGCTGGAATTATTGTCAGGTCGAATACGTAGGTCAAACTAGTGGAACAGGTGCAGTCGGTCAGACTAGTCGAACATAAAAGTCTAGCAAAATTTAGATTGGCTGACCCAAATAAGATAAGAAATTTAGAGAATAGAGAATAGTTCAGCTATACCACTCATCACACGCAATTACACACAACCATAAAACAGGATGGTGGGGTAAGATAACAGTTTTAAAATCTAGTGTAACAAGATGGAGGGAGAGATTGAAAGCAGAAGCTTTGTTTATCGAATCAACTGCGAACCAACATGTGTAATAGGAATGATTCAACACCTGTCCACCCAGATATCTGGAAAATTCTACTACCCATACGACAAATAGGAGAAAACAAAGTAAAAACTACAAAAGTCAAGTTTCAAAGTCGTGTGATTATAATTGGCGATATGATTGTGAACAATAATGAGTTGTGTTCGAAACTGTGTCATCGAGTAAGTAATAATACTGTTTCACTCACTGTGTGATACATCTAATGAACAAACTGATATGGAATTACATACTACTACCACAGTGCCGAAGTTTTACACATATATATTAATGGTTGATGTCTTTTTTGTCTTTGGTTTGTGGGAACAATCTGCTAACTAGCAGTTCAATGGAGCACAACGAGAAATATA